ATCATATGTTTGTGCCTATAAAGGGCGCAGCTTAAAGATTACCAGAATTGACCGACCATTTAACATTGTGGATGTGTTTTTTTGTTGCAAGAGACATAATACGTATTCGGTCAGTGCCTCAAGGCATCCATTGTACTTCTCTCAAAGGAGGGGCCAAACATTTCTTTCACACCTCCTCTTTCAGGACATGTCCCACAAACAATTTTGGGTGTTTAAAACCCGGAGCAACATTATTTCTTTCCAGTATTCCCTGGAACCAATTAATTTTTTCAATAAATCCCATGCCACTGGCGTTATCGGGTGAATCCTGGGATTGAAATGAGTATCAATCTACGCAACTGGAATACGATGACAAGCAATCAAACAAGTCACTAAGTTTGAGCACCCGATTACCGATATTAGACAAACACAGGAATCCCCCACGTTCATAACCAGGCTAGAGTTGTAGACAAAGTAGGATATAGTTTTGAACATGACGCTATTCTAAAACAGTGGCTGGTATATAGCTAATGTTTAAAAAAGATATGATCAGAAGGAGATGCACTCTCTATTGACAAGTCCAATTCTTTCTTTGTGTAAATATGATTTTCAAATGATCACATTATGCGACTGACTAGTCCTCCCTGTTGGGGTTACGCGCAGTGCCAGCGCCAGGGAATTAATAATGTCGAATATCTGTCGAGACATATTCCATGAGGTGTAAAAGTCAAAGTAGTGAAAGCTGGTTATCCGTGATCAAAAGTCTCTGATAGGTGAGGTGAAATTGGGTTTAACGTCGCGTCCAAGATTATTGCACTTATATAGCGACGTGCATGCACGTGTATGTGTGTGTGTGGCTGCTTGTACTAGTCCGGACTGATGCCGATTTATAGTGCTAGCTCACTGAGATACCATGCCTCAGTTTAACATGAATACCCCACTCAGACACAGTATACTGACTCCGAGCCGACCAGTCCTTGTTTTAGCCCCTTAATGTCGAGCGCCAGACAGGGTAACAACAAGTACAATCTTTTAACGTCTTTTGGTATGACGCGGCCCGGGATCGAACCCTGGACCTTCCGCTCTCCGGGCGGACGCTCTACCACAAGACCACAGAGGCGGTTAAAAAGTCTCTGATAATATGTCAGCAAATGACCACTGTGGACCCGGACCCGGACACAGACACGGAGACGGAGACAGTCATCATGGTCTATATCCACATGCCTTTTAGAATCTGGCCAAATGTAACAAATGTCATACTTGGTATTACACTCTCTGTGTAAAGTACAGATTCTAGGACGTTTTCGGGTTGAGTCCCATCCCTGATTCGAACCCACCCTGTCAGAGTGAGGCACAAGGTCACCATAGTTGAAAATATGTCAGGCGGGCGTCCCTGTTGGTATTGGTCTGCTTGTAAATTTTAAAAAACTAAATATTTTTCGATAACTCTCTTCTTAATTGCTTTGTTCTTTGGTGTGTTCATTTCACAGACAGAATAGTTACAGTTTATGATAAAGAATTGCATTAAGTACAGAATAAACTCCGAGATACCTCCAATTACTGAGCACGAGAGGAATGTATTCAATCTACATAAACCCACCTTTGGTTCCAGTTTCTGGACAAGTGAGTTGTGATCCAGACAAAAGCCTGTTAATACTAGATCCACGACCAATTATCGGCAGCGTGACGAGCGTCATTCACTGTTAATTTGAGAGGGGAAATTGTTCCGTTTTGTTAGCACAATTGGCCCTAAAATTCTTTCTTGTTTGGTATGCTTCGGTTGAGGTACCAAATATAGGAAACCATAACCTAGAATTGAATTGTAGGAAGTGATGGGGGTCGTATTCCACTTTGGTAAACTACATTTGTTTGGGAATGGTGCTGACAAATTAAGGATCATAATCAGGTTGAATCTAGAATTCGAACTTTCGATCATCGGATCCTGGAACCCTCAAGGGACGCAAACATACACAAAGTATTGTCGGGGAGATACATATATTCGTTTCCATGTTCCTGTTTATTCCCAAATGGTTTGATGCCTGAAGCGGATGCTCAGTCATGAGGTCTACAAATATGCCACCAACACCTTTGTTTGCATTAATAGTTAGCCGCATGAAAATGGATTTCACGCACCACTAGCAGGCTACAGCGTGATACAACTTTAAGTCAATTCGAAGCAAATATCTATCAAATATACATTTACAGTATATAAGTAAACATACCTTAATGTTCTTCAGTAAAATATGCAACTACAATAAAACATGTTGCGCTTTTCTTGATGCAAAATGTTTAAAATGTAACACGACTATGAAACACAAATTAGATTTCTACTTAAACGTATCCTTGATTTATTTCGCCAGCACATCAATATGTACCCAGATGTGTATTAACCAAGGGCGTTTTATGTACGCTTTAATGTATTTTAGTTTTCTCAACACTGGAAGCTTGAAACAGGTTGTTAACTATTTGTACTTTTTTGGCCATGTGACCTTTACACTGAATCAAGATATCTGAGTGTGAGTCGTTGGAGCTCTTTTTGTTTTTAAATTGCAGTGAATGATTTCAAATTTTGTCCGGAAACAAGCGGACGTGAAACAGTCGACATCGGCTAAATATCAGTTATTTTCAAATATTATAACAACATTAAATGCTTCGACAATATTATGTAAATTGTTGATTTACATTATTTTACCTTTGTTGAGAAAAAAATGATAATAGGAGAACCATTGGCCTTTGTTCAGGACTCACTGGTTCCTGAAATGACCATGAGCATGCTCTCAAAACGTGCAAACGATTAATAAAATACTCGACTGGTGCAGCCTCCTAAAATGTGACTGACCACACCGTATATATAAACACAGAATATATATTTTGGCAGTGGTTTCGCAAGATAGTAGTCAGTGAGACTCTCGTTATTCCATTCATGTGCGTCACTAATTAGATGACGAGGCATTTGGCTACTTGAAGAGTGAATGAGTATGACTTGAAGCAGATTTGAGCAATAATCTAGCAATAGTCCGTCAGGGACACAAAAAATGGGCTTCACACATTGAACACATGTGGGGAGTCGAACCTGGACCTTCGAACGCTTTAACCATCAGGCTACCACCGCTCAACTACCTTAAGAGAGTCGTAGTTATTTTAAGTATGAGAAAGTAGCGGTGTGTTTACTTTACTTACAGTTACTTATTTGTTCTCCTTAACGTAATGTTCAAATTGGCCCATTGGCATACTTCCTCGTCTCCTCGCCTGATGTCTATCAGGCATGGGCTCATTGTCATCTAGGCAAATATACATTAGCTAAAGGCACAATTTACTGTCAATACCATACAAAGTCGTGCTTACATATAAATCATGCTTGAAATATAACAAAACGTTTCAAGTGAGTTTGTGATTTTATTTTCATGTTTCCAGAAACAGTTCTCTCCTGAAAAAGAAAGAACAAATATTAAGTTGGATGTTAATTCAAATAACCCCGTGAAATACTTCACCCTGGCTTCGTTCTAAAGTAAGATAAACTGAAACCTGAAAGATTTGACTTTACGTACAGATGATAATATATATAATACTGTTGCCGTGGCCGAAATGACTTCTACAGAATGCCACGCAGGCTCACTGCACTTTTTTTATTTTAAAATGGCCAGGTACCATGTTCAACTAATTTAATGGATACTAAATATTCTGAATATAAATGAGAAATGCTTTGTACGTGATATTGCTCTTCTTCCTATCCATGGTGACCGTGTCCGTGCCCATGCCCATGCCCGTGACCGTGTCCATGGTGCCCATGCCCGTGACCGTGGTGACCATGTCCGTGTCCATGGTGACCGTGTCCGTGCCCATGCCCATGCCCATGACCGTGTCCATGGTGCCCATGCCCATGCCCGTGACCGTGTCCATGGTGACCATGTCCGTGACCATGGTGACCATGTCCGTGTCCATGACCGTGACCATGGTGACCATGTCCGTGACCATGGTGCCCATGTCCGTGACCATGGTGCCCATGACCGTGACCATGTCCGTGACCGTGGCCGTGACGATGGCCATCAGAGTAGCTTATAGCACAAAGCCATGCTGAAACAAGAATGGAGTGTTTTGTAAACAGTAACCTGTATGTTGCGGCACAAAGAAGGAAAATGTTTACATCTTGATTTATTGCCTTATCAAAATGACACAAGAAACAAGACGGACGTATTGATGAGATACAACTACCTCAACTCACACGAGATAAACCTTGAAGTTAAATAAAAGAAAACACGTTTCACTTACCAACAACTACAAACAGCAGAACTGTAAAATATTTCATCTTGACAGTTACCTCTTTCACAATGTTTAGTCTAATGACCGGCTTCTGATTCATATCCTTTTTATATTTGGAACATAAAACATTAATGTCATGATGATCGCCACAAACGTTAGATATCATTTTTGATGACCATTGGTCAAACGCCGTTACCTCTCACCAAGCCTACAGCGGGAGTACAGGGTGATAATCTTCTTAGAGGATCAAGTGGAGATTCACGTGAAGGTGGCCAATAATACGGCATGAATCAAGTAACTGCAGTGCAGTACACCGGTGTGTCACACGTTGACGACAATAGTGACAGCAATTAATGTGTAAATCACGAATGAATGCTGATTAGAAGAACAAGAGATGGAAAATCAATTGAATAGTTTATATAGTTTATGTAGTATAAGACACTTGAGATTTGTTGCCTCATGATATCAATGAACTTTGACTTGTAGAGCAGCGCAGTTATCAACAGGCATGCAGAGCATCACAGTGGTTGTGTGGGCACGAGCAGTCATGCAGTGACCCTGTATCTGACCACTGAAACCACATCGACCATGTAACCATAGGACCTCACACAGCATATGCCACCTGTGGTTAATGGTAGCCCCATTTATCTACAGACCACGTATTATTTCCAGAAGGAGTGACACTCATGATGACTTCTGTGTGTGGATTTACTTGTATAAATACAACCACAGACTTTTCTACATCACTCGAATAGTGTCATCCACAAGGCATCTTCCCTTTTTCTAGAGCCATGAATTATTTCAGCCTGACGCTTCTTGTGGCACTTGGTAGGTTTTACGGACAGTTTATTTTACTTATTATGTCTTTTTCATGCATATGATTCACCTCAGCGCGAAGGGATAATCTTGAAATAATTATTTTTCTTTATTGTTTTCAGGTGCAATGCTGTATTTGTCTATAGTTGAATGTCATGGTCACGGACACGGGCACGGGCATGGGCACGGTCACCATGGTCACGGACACGGACACGGGCATGGACATGGACATCATGGACACGGTCATCATGGTCACGGACACGGACACGGACACGGACATGGGCACCACGGGCATGGACACGGTCACCATGGTCACGGACACGGACATGGGCATGGGCACCACGGGCATGGACACGGTCACCATGGTCACGGACATGGGCATGGGCACCACGGGCACGGACACGGTCACCATGGTCACGGACACGGTCATCATGGTCACGGCCATCATGGACATGGACACGGACATGGTCACGGTCACGGGCACCATGGTTGAGGCAAAACTGTCTGTCGTTCCTGTTTGTTTTGGTCTACATGTAATAATAATAAACCAAACATACATCGGTAATTGTCTCCCTTTAATGGTTTTGATCTGATGTTTTAAATAGCAGACCATCATACGTTTGTCCCGATTTCGGGCCCAGTTATCTGAACGCTGGTGCAATAAGATGTTTTCGGACACTGCCTCAAGGCACATTATGTTTCTCTCAAGGAGGGGCCCTATTTTGTTCACAATTTCATTTTCTGGACATGTCTCGCAAACATTTTTGGGTGTCTAAAGCCTAAAGCAAAATGATTTCTTTCCCATATTTTCTGGAACCAATCAGTTTTTGTATACTAAACACCACAACCCCAAGAATGTCAAATGGATTGTCCTTTACAAAGACAAGGGTAGGTGTTCGCATGAGTCTCCCCATCAAAATCACCAAACCTGGACACCATATCCATTTACGACAAGCGTAGGTTGCTTGGCACCTAAATTCTTACCCAGAATCATCGCATGTTCAGGATCTAGAGTTAGAGACTAAGGGTGATATAGTTTCAAATATGACTCTATTCAAAGGCAATGGCTGGTATAACCAGATCGGGATGCGCACTCCATTGGCAAGTCAAATTATTTCTTTGTTCAAAGATGATTTCAAAATGATGACATCACGCGGCTGACTATTACTTCTGTATAACCAGATCGGGATGCGCACCTCATTGGCAAGTAAAATTATTTCTTTGTTCAAAGATGATTTCAAAATGATGACCTCACGCGGCTGACTATTACTTCAGTATAACCAGATCGGGATGCGCACTCCATTGGCAAGTCAAATTATTTCTTTGTTCAAAGATGATTTCAAAATGATGACATCAAGCAACTGACTATTACTTCTTGTTAGAGACACGCCCAGAAACATCAAGGCCAGAGAATTATTGGTCTCGACTATCTGTCGATAAAGGTCAAAGTAGTGAACGCTGGTTTCGTTTTGAACGTTTTGTGAGTACATTTCGGATATCAGTGATAAAAAAGCAGTCTGGAAAAAAACAAATGACAGCAAACGATTTTTAAACTACAGGTTCCGGCTAAGAAGTTTGATGTTCAAGATTCAAGAAGTGAGATGGTGTTCCTGAGAGTTCCCTTTCTTCGAATGTTGACCGAATTATCTGGAGAACAATGGCTATAGATGCAACTATTAGCAGCCGCTTAGTACATATATAGAGAATATCACATTAGTAAATAAAAGTTTCAAACTCCGAGGCTGGTCGAGGAGTTTAAAACTGTTATCAACGAGTGTTGAAAAATAGGATATCAACAGACACGAGGGTGAGAATCTATTCATCATCCAAAATCATTCTACCAACTTTGTTAGTTTGTAAACAGTAATAACCAGTGTCTTGAGTGTAAAAGTACTACTCAACGGCTTCAGTGGCAGAGATTAGTGATGTCATTTGATTGTGACGACACAATGGTCTGTTAATCTTTGTGAAACGAATGGTATAAATCTGCTACTCAATACAATACTAGACATTATGTCTAAAAATGGCGACCTAGATTTGTTCCTTGCTTGAGATTTCAATGCCAGAACTGGACATTTCTGATGACACTTCACATAATCTCCCTTGTGGGGATGAATACCCCAGTGACACTTTCAACTTCACCAGACATTTCAAAGAATCTACAATCAACAACTTTGGTAACTTCATATTATATTTATGTAAAACAATAGGTATCCACTTTCTGAATGAAAGATATCCCTTGGACAATGACCCATGCTTGCCGTAAAAGGCGACTATGCTTGTCGTAAGAGGTGACTAACGGGATCGGGTGGTCAGGCTCGCTGACTTGGTTGATGCATGCCATCGTATCCCAATTGCGTGGATCATGATATCAATCACTGGATTGTTTGGTCCAGACTCGATTATTTACAGACCGCCGTGATATAGCTGGAATATTGCTGAGTGCGGCGTTAAATAACAAACAAACAAACAAAACAAAACGTTTCACTCCAGATCCGAACCATCACACTCAGTGCTGGAATAGCCTTAAATGGAATCAGCACTTTGCATCTACATACCTGACAAGACTTATCCGTAAATTATGCCTACTTTGTCATCCGTCAACTTCTAAGAAATGCCTTTGAAACAATACATACCAGACCTCTCTCCTCAGTGACTGGTGTAAAGATAAACTGCAATGTTTGTCAGATGTTCATGCTGACATCAATCATGCTGTCTCTTTATTTCTTGAAGTTCTACATAATTGTCGGGTCTGCTTTGGCAAGATTACAAAACATCCAGATAACATTGAAAAAAGCAAAGTGGTGGGACATTGGATGTGAACATCTATAAAATGTTAAATATAGTTTGTTGAAAAACTTTAGACAGTAATTTAGATACAAACCTTAATATCGAAGCAGATTCAACAAGGCGAAAGGGCAAGGCAGAGATGGTATAATATAACTGGATCACTGATAATCAGTTATGACACAAAGTGTTCACAAAGCGGATAAGTATGTCATGCTCCACGGAAGCACCCGACACTCACAAAATTAGCAAAAAATATGTTGGCATTGTCTGTCATTGCCTCACACGCGCATCAATGCTTCTATAAACAGTCGAGTCTGGACCAGACAATCAAGTGATCAGTACCATGGGCAATGATTCCTTATTAGAATGGATCCCTGAAAATAAGTGATGACACCAGGTGCTAGGGTTGGCGGATTGGCACATAAATCATGTTGCAATACATCGCAACACCGAGAGCTGTATTGCAATACATATTGCAATACGTATTTTGGCCTAAATTATACAAATATGTACTGTTCAAATGGTACTCCTTCATTCCATAATGCAGACTTCAGATTGCGAGATGGGTAGTATGGATAAACGAGGCTATCTATTACGTCGTTAAACAGCATGAACGTGTGCTGTTTGCATGGTTCAGTTCAACCAGTCCATCAAAAAGCCTCAAGATAGTGGATATAATTTATATAATTATATATTAAGTCGTTTGTGGCTGTATCGGATAATATCTATAACCAAGGGTTGTATTGCGATATTGTATTGCTGACGGCCGTATTGCAGTATGCCGGTTAAGAAGGTAAATCTCACACCCCTACCAGGTGCTCGACCGGTAGCACCCACTACTTTCACAATGTTTATGACAAAAGTTGGAGCCTGTGAGTAGGGAGATATGCAAATTCCATGTGAGGGTAAAGCATGGAATAGCAATATGACAAGCGACGTGTCATATTAAGTACATTTCTCTGAATGTCTACCATACAGTGTCTAAAATGATTTAACCAGGCATTTGGTCACAAAACGGCGAGGACTAATTGACGCGCACGTGAAAAGGTCCAAGTCGGGTTACTAGGAGTTTCTTCTGTTTAATGGAGTTTTGAGGTTATTTGCTACTGGACTAACATGAACTGCAATAAAGAATACATCAATGAGATTTGAAGTAAATATGTGACTTACCTTTATCTTCTACGTTGATGTTCTGGTGAAGATGTATCGAAACTAAGCGCTTGCTTTATACTAAGGTGTTTTGAAGACTAACCTAAGTGCTTGCTATATTCTAAGGGTATTTGAAGACTGCCCTAAGTGCTTGCTATATGCTAAGGGGTTTTGAATAATAACCTAACTGTACTGAACCTACATCACCTGACAAGTAATTATTGGTGAATAGTTTAACAAGTCATGAGGCACTGTACTGTACCACATTTATATGAGCGTTTTGATCTACAAGTCGCGAGGCACTGTACTGTGCCACATTAATATTAGCGACTAGTTCAGCAAGTCGTGAGGCACTGTACTGTACCACATGAATATTAGCGACTAGTTCAGCAAGTCGTGAGGCACTGTACTGTGCCACATTAATATTAGCGAATAGTTCAGCAAGTCGTGAGGCACTGTACTGTACCACATTAATATTAGCGAATAGTTCACCAAGTCGTGAGGTACTGCACTGTACCAAATCAATATTAGCGTACAGTTCAGCAAGTCGTGAGGCACTGTACTGTACCACATTAATATGAGCGTACAGTTCAGCAAGTCGTGAGGCACTGTACTGTGCCACATTAATATTAGCGAATAGTTCAGCAAGTCGTGAGGCACTGTACTGTGCCACATTAATATAAGCGAATAGTTCAGCAAGTCGTGAGGCACTGTACTGTGCCACATTAATATGAGCGTACAGTTCAGCAAGTCGTGAGGTACTGTACTGTACCACATTAATATTAGCGTACAGTTCAGCAAGTCGTGAGGTACTGTACTGTACCACATTAATATTAGCGAATAGTTCAGCAAGTCGTGAGGCACTGTACTGTACCACATTAATATTAGCGTACAGTTCAGCAAGTCGTGAGGCACTGTACTGTGCCACATTAATATTAGCGAATAGTTCAGCAAGTCGTGAGGAACTGTACTGTACCACATTAATATGAGCGTACAGTTCAGCAAGTCGTGAGGCACTGTACTGTGCCACATTAATATTAGCGAATAGTTCAGCAAGTCGTGAGGCACTGTACTTCACCACATTAATATTAGCGAATAGTTCAGCAAGTCGTGAGGCACTGTACTGTACCACATTAATATTAGCGAATAGTTCAGCAAGTCGTGAGGCACTGTACTGTACCACACTAATATTAGCGAATAGTTCAGCAAGTCGTCAGACACTGTACTGCGATGACAGGTTCAAACTGGCGAATAGTTTAACAAGTCATGAAAGATAATGCAAAAGTCTAAGGTTTCATGGATAACATAAGTGCTTGCTATTTTCTAAGGTGTCTCTATAAATAACCAAAGTTCTGTTTTCAAAAGTGTTTTGAAGAATACTCTAAGTGCTTGCTATATTCTAGAGCGAGTGAGTTAGGTATTTCACCGCCTTTTGCTCTTTTCCAGCAAAATCAGGGCGGGGACACCAGAAATGGGCTTCATACATTGTACCCATATGGGGAATAGAACCCGGGCCTTCGGCGTGATTAGGCAACGCATTAACCACTAGGCTATCCCAACGCCCCCTTTTTTCTAAGACAGTTTTTTTATAACCCAGGTAGAAAAGAATGTGTGTTGCGCATGAAGGCCACAACCAAGGTCCAGAGATGGTCCAGGGATAGTCCAGAGATGGTCCAGGGATAGTCCAGGGATGGTCCAGGGATGACTTGCAGCAAGTTGATAAAGAAAATTGGCTATATCTCAAACCATGAAAATTCGACCGACAACTGTTGGAACGAAAACAACAACCGTCAGACTGTTGCTGTTGGGCAGTTGGCCAAGTTTTTAGTACTAATTCGTAGTTCTAAGCCCTGAGTGCTATGTGGTTTCAAAGAACGCAAAAAGTTGGCAATACTTCCTTTAGTTCCATCCCACCTTTTTTGATTAGGAGCATCGTCGGTTGGGTGGATCCAAAGGAACTATTTATCCCAAGCTTTTATTGTTTATAGTGATGTTTTCAACGGTGTAATATAGAAGCTAGACCGTCGTATGAAATGTCATCTCGTAGTTCACTAACAATAACGTAATTTCCTACCTTTCTCCGCCGATGTCAATCGTACAGTCTTTATTCATAAGTCACAATCCTCAATTATGCAATCGCACAAAATGTGTCCATAACAATCATGTCCAATCCAAATTGAAATATCTCCTGTTGAAAGTTCAAACACTGTATCTTCAATCCACAAGAAATTCTCCTCCAATGAAATTTACGTGGCTGTTTGGCGACGCCTCTGCAGTGACGAGTTCACTGGTATCGTCTGTCCAACCGTTTGAATAGAGAGCCAAGCAGCCACAGCACCTGAATAACGCAACATGTATATGTAGATATGCTTAAGTTTTGTTTCGTTGAGGCGTATATCACCCAATGGGAAGCTGAATAGCAGGAAAAAAACGATGCTAAGCTGTAATGCTGAGAGTGCATTTTCAAAGCACATGTTGTGTTATGTGCGGTGTGTGTTGTGTGTGTGTGTATGTGTGTGGATGCGATGATGGATATGTATGTATGTATGTATGTATGTATGTATGTATGTATGTATATGGAGCCCTAATAATAATGATAATCCGAACGAATACAATCGGGTTCAAACCTTATGACGTCGCATTGGCATTATTTTAGCCATATAGCGAAGACGAAGTCCCAAGAAGCTACATATTCTGGCAAGCGACTAGTTAACGCAAACTCCCCACG